GGGCCAGGCACCGCAGGATGTCAGCGTCACAGGCAGACAGGAGGAAGAGGGACCAGTTCAACTGGTTCTGTGGGCACAGTTAGGGGCCTCCATCTACAGGGAAAACCAGAGCGCCAGACACCACCTCAGGTGGTGTAAACTGACACAGCTTTGCTCACTTACACCAGCTAAGGAACTGGCCCCACATGCCCACTTGTGTCCTGTTACCTGCCACAGTAAAGAATCAAGTATTCAACCATATTGAGTGATGACACCAACCATCTTAAGAAGCTACAGTGTCACTAACTGGTTACAAACTCAATGAATCTGCAGTGTAGACAGGGCCCCTTGGGAAGGGAAGCACCATGATATCACACTGGATCTATCCTCGGGGACGCTAGCTACTGCTGACCATGCTGTGTGTCCCAGGGCTTGTGCAGATTTGCTATGCTTGGAGCTGATCTCGTTGCCTGGTACTGGGATTTTTTTGTCTTTAGCACGTCAGTGGAGGCTGTGAAGACTCTTTTCTCCATGCCCAGATACTGGAAGGAATTTGCCGGCATCCAGTTACAGCAGGGTTGGGACATGATATCCTCCCGATATTACTACTCGCAGGGTGTTGGCCTGATTGCAAGGTAGGAGCCCAAAGTTTCCTCTTCATTGGGTCTCTCTTGGGACTGGGATTTCCATGTGAAATATTCCTCTGTTCCAGCTGCAATCTCAGCCCAGCAAGTAGAAAGGAACTCTCTCTCCTCCTTGATAACCACAAGGGACTTTCTGTTCCATGTTCCAGAGCCATGATCGAGTTTGAGAACCCTCAGCTCCCTGCAGTTTTCAGAGAGGCCGTCAACATTGTCCAGAGTGAGAAGGAGGATGAGCAGAGAAATATCACCATGACTTTCTGCACTGAGTTGAGATTCATTAATTGACAGGCACAAGTGGGCTTTCTGCAGAGCAGCTCAGGCCAGTAGGCTCTGGGGCACATTGTCAGGAGCTCAGCAGCCTACAGCCAGCTAGCTCCTCTCCACACATGGATGGTTGTGAGGCACGGCAGAGAGAGGGAGGGAGAGACAGGGTGAGATCGCCCCTGGCTGGATGTGCCTAGATGGGATCATGTGACAAGAGGAGATGTTTCACCACTGCCCCAAGGCCATGCTTCTCTCCTCACCTTTTCTTGGGGCTCTGCTTTTCTTCTGCCCCAGGGGTTGTTCCATGGCACTCAATGGGGCCTGGAGATTCCCCTTTCCCTGGGGGTTTATTTGTGACTTGTACATTAGTCTAACTTCTGGGAATGAACCAACTGAAAGAGCAGCAACTGGCTCCCTACACACCAGAGTCTTTCTACGGTAGTAAGTGGCCATCTGGTAAAGATGACTGTCCAGGGAACAGACCCCACAGGAAGACCTCTGCTCCTCAACCGGATGTTGATTTGGCTCTTTCCAGTTTCTCCAGAGTCCTTCCATTGACACGATACTGACAAGATCAGAGCTCGAGGCGCAGCTCATGGAATGGACCAAAGACACAAATCCCATCGTACGTGGGCTCAGTCTGCGAGGCCTTGGCAGTGTTGTGCTCCAGCCAGCAAAGGTGAGAGGCGTGGATTGCCCGGGGGACTGAGGAAGCCGATGTCTATCGAATAGCTCAGAAATGAGAGCGAGATCCCCACACAAGCCTTGTTGTTTAATGCACGGCACTCAAATGTTGGAGGTGCTTTACTGAGCGAATCAAGGCATGACATGGTCCCTGCTCCTGTGAGCTGACCCCTGATTGCAGATGTGATGCAATGGGGGAGGCGGGGTGAGCAAAGACAAAGGTTACAGTGAGCAGCTGTCACAGATGCTCAGTTTTAGCAACTGCCCATCTCGATGGCTCCATTCCATATAACTGGGAATTGTTTTGAATGGGGTGAATTAACTCACTGCTTGTAGATGCCCTGCGGAGGTGGGTTTATAGGAGAAGACAATGTTAGACGAGGATCGGGAAGACGTTCCATGCAGAGGGACCAGCATGGACAAGGCAGAGCTGGGAGCAGAAATGGAACAAAAGTGTCAAGGCCAGTCTGGAAGGTTGAGTAGAGCCAAAGTGTCAGGAGACAAAGTCCAAGATGTAGGATGGGCAGAAGGCTGCAGGGCCTGAAAGGAGGCGAAAGGGACTGAAGTTGTTGCTCAGGGCAATGGGGAGAGAGTGGAGGCAGGGAGACAAGCCCAGGCTTGGCAAGAGCAGAAGAGTCAGCGTGGATCAGAGGTCGGTTTGTGGGGCCTGGAGCTGCTCCAAGCAGGTGTCAGTGAAGCCTCTGGTCAAGGAGCGTGGTGCAAAACTCCTGCAAGAGTGACAGGAGAATGACTTTGTGCCCCGTTGGGGGGCTGTGCCAGCCGTGGTTTCTCATAGGTGGGAGTGGGATCGTCCAGCATGTGCTCCAGGCTGTCACCCACGATAGTAATGAGCTGCCTTCTTCATTCCTGCAGGTGCAATTGTTACGGGCCCAGCTGCCAGCGATCATGGACACGTTCGGTGACAGGGATGGAGGGTGTGTCATGGAGGCCATGCATAAAGCTGGAGACATCATCTACCTCCTCGATGGGGAGGGGCTTGGCTCCATCTCCCAGGACATTGCAGTCAGCCTTCGCCCCTTCATTGAAGGAAAGTTATATGGGCTCGTGGTATCCATGCTCCACCAATATTCATGAAGGTGAGCCCAGCTCCACCAATGTTTGGGGCCCGGGCCCCGGGCTTTGGGGGGCCCCGCGCCATGGGTCAGCAATGTGGGGTGCTCTCACCACAGGGGCAGCTGCATGCTGCAGAGAGGCCCCAGCGCTGACCCGGCTCCCAGCCCAGCCTGGCCAATGGGAGCTGCAGGAGGCGGCGCCAGAGCTGCCTGGCCACGCCTCCCCAGCAGGGAGAGGGAGGAGTCACAGGCAATTGCACCCAGCCTGGGGCAGAGAGGGGCAGCAGGAGCCTGTCCCTGTCAGAGACACGCAGACACAGCCGGGGGGCTGTGGGGACAGACCGATGGAGCCGGGGGTGGAGAAAGGAGCAGCGATGGGCACCCCGGGGCTGGCATAAAAATACACAGTACAGAGGGGCTTCCTGAGGGGGCTATAGCAACTCCCCCCCCCGCAGAGCAGACCTGGCCTGGGGCTGGCTCCATCCATCACTCCCGCCCGCCCCACAGAGACCCACACAACCCTCTGCCCCCTGAGAGACTCTAATGGCCCCTGTGGCCCTGTCACCCCCCTCCAGAGAGCCCCCCTTTGTGCCAGACAACTCCCCTCCCCCACTGTCTCCCCTGCTCCACAGCTCCCTACAATCTCCCCCTTTGCCTCCCCCCAGCCCATTGGCCGGGGGGGCTCCCAGTCCCTGACTGGGTTAAACTCCCAACTACTACTCATTAAATAGCAATATCAAATACTGATATAAAATCCTCTGCAGCCTGTGCCCCATTTCTCCACATTATTGAATAATTAACCCAGCCCCGCCTCCCAGCAGCCCCTTCCCCGTTGCTGCCTCCCCCAACTCACTACAGGAGCTGCCTGCTCCATCCCGCTCCGTGGCCCAGCATCGCCCATGGCTCCCTGCCTCCCATGTCAATGGCAGGGCGGGTGCATGGTGGGGTCAAGTGCAGATTTTCAGCCGCTCTGGGCGCTGCCAGTGGGGAGCAGGGACCCTCACACACAGAGCCCCCCATTGTGGGGCGGGGGGGGAGTGACTCCTCATCCTGCTGCATCTGGGGCTAAAACCGGATCAGGTCTGGCCCAGTGTCCCACTAGCACTTGGGAGACCCCGTTTCCCAAATGGGGGAGGCTCCTGGCTCTGATGGTCACCACCAACTGGTCAATTCTAAGAAGCGTAAAGGGGGAAACAATTTGATTCTGAGACATGAGGGGAAAGTTGGTCACTGGGGAGGCTGACCTCCTCCCCCTGCAACACCCCAACATGGAGAATGACTCAGGGCAACAGCTTCCCTCCAAAAAAGAAGAAGTTGCTGCACTTAAAACGTGTGAGGGAAAAAATCCCAACCAGAGAGGAGTTTCTATCAGTAACTGGTAATTACGTGGGAAAGAGCAAAACCGGAGGAGATTTGACCTCCGGGTTCAGTTATGAATGAGATGTACAGGGGGAAACAATCTGATGCTCAGACCTGAGAGGAAAGTTGGGCCTTTGGGGGTTGAGCTCCCCTCCCCCACACTGGGGCAACAGTTTCCCTCCAGAACAAGACCTGGCGGCAGACAGGGACTGGGGAGCCCACAGCCGCAGAGGATTTTCCATCAGTATTTGAGAATTAGACAGAAAGTGACACAATCTGAGGAGATTTTATATCAATCACCAGTAACGAGAGAGACGGGGCCAAGCTGAAGGGGGTTTTACATCTAATTTGGGAATTCAATGGGAAATGGGGGAAATCTGGGGGGGTTTGGTCAATGATGGGTTATCAGAGAGAAAAGGGCGAAATCCAAGGGAAATTTCCATCCACACTCAGTTACTACCTGGGACGTGCTGGGTCCCCAGGCCCTGCCATTGACGTGGGCAGCAGGGAGCCCGGGGTCATGCCGCGTTACCAGGGCAGGGGGGCTGTAACCCCCTGACCATAAGGGGGGCTGTGACGTTTTCTGGGGCCTGGCCAGGGCTGAATCTGAGAGCTAAGCTGGGGCCCTTGCGTGAGGCGGATTCAGAGCAGCCCTGGGAGTGGAAAAGCTGCGTCAGACCCAGCCAGCCTCATGGATCACCGGCCCCCTCAGACGAGACAGACAGCGGAGCACGGCGCCCCACCCACAGGGCCTGGCCTGGGGCCTGACGTGTCGCCAGCTGGCTCAGCAGTGGGGCAGGGAGACTTTGCGGGGGCCTTAGCAACCAAACAGACACCACAGAGGTTACGGCAGCCTCGGCGGGTGGCCGGGCAGAGACGGTTCAAACCCCGGCCCCCTCATGTGTGTGGATTAGTGTCACTGGCTCTGGGCACGGGGGGGTGTCTGCCATTGCTGGGGTTTCTGTCCAGCTGAGTGGGGCTGTGGGGCAGGGTGAGAACTGGGCACGTCTTTAGGCAGTGAGCACGGTGTCCGTGTGGGGAGTGGCCCCCATTAGCTCTCAGGAGCCACCGCCCTTGGAGTAGCAGAGCAAAGAGCCCGGCTCACCCGCGGGGGGGCGGTGGGGAGTTCAGCAGGGAGACACCCCCCGGCCGCAGGACCTGGGAGATAAAGGCCCCCACCCCCAGTCTGTACCGGCCAGGGGCCCGGGTACATGGAGCTGGGCTTTGCATGGCAGTTGGGAGGGGCAGCAGCGGGGGAGGGGCAAGTAACTGGCAGTTGGTCGAGGGGCTGGGCTGGGAGGGGGCAGCAGCGGGGGAGGGGCAGGTAACTGTCAGTTGGTCGGGGGAGGGGCTGGGCTGGGAGGGGGCAGCAGCAGGGGGGGGCGCAGGTAACTGTCGAGGTTGGTCGGGG